ATACTGAGATGTCCACAGACCAGCCTTTATTCAACCAGTCCAGTAAAATCCAATAGCTCTAGTAAGGAGTAGAAACATGTGGGTGGCTGTAGTAGATGATTAGTTCAGCCCTTTTTAAAAAGGTGACTATGTACAGTGCTCCACATACCCTGAGCTACTATAGACCAGATTTGGTTTCCAAACGTGTCCTGTAGTCGTCCATCAGGTTTGCCAACGGTAAAACCAGTATTGCCAGGTATCTCTGCATGTTCTGGCTTAACAATTTTAGCATTTGGAAAGAGCCCTGGTAGGGAATTGTGTTGTCTGACTGGCTGAATCCCAGACTGACACAGACAAGTAAGATGCCAATCCAGATCCTTGCCTAAACTTGTTAAGGCAAATATTATGAATAGAGATGGCTCTTTGAGAAGCTCTTGCTTTCCTTAAGTGTCCAGGTACATAGCATGTCATGACTTCTGAGTCAGAACCAAATTTTTTGACCAAGGAAATCCAGATGCTGTTATATGGATAAAGTGTGCAAATAGTCTCCTCCTCCTCTCAAAATACTCTTCCTTCTCCCTGTTTCTTTTGGTACCCCACCCATCCCCAAACCCTTAGCTTAACTTTTATGCAAGCAGCATAGATTGATGGATGATCTTTCATAATTGTTTCTCCTTACAGTCTTAAGATTTTCAGTGAGTTGAAAATTATTGGCAAGTGTTGGGGATGAAGTGAGAGCAGGAATGGGGAATGGAAAGAAAGGGAGGTATGAAAGGAGAGTAATAAAGGGAAGGGCCAAATACTTATGGGATTATCTGGGAGGGACTTAGATGAAAGCTACAGAACAAAAAGAACAGAGAGCTAGAGCCAGTGCACCCAAAGTGAAAGTGGTTCACTCCGAGTTAAAAAAGTCAGGAGTTTCTCCCCAGTAGGTCATAAAAGGCAGAGGTTGTGCCATGATCATATCCAGGAACTGAGTGATGTGGGAGTGATGCTTCAGAAGTGCAGCCTAGGCTGCAATTCCATCACCATGGGGAAAACAATTGAGGCTAAGTGCTTAAGGGTGACTGCAAACTTTTTCCCCTAAATCTATGTCAGGGACAGAGGTATGCGGGATATAATACACAGTGACACAACACAGTCAGATTTTGCAGAAACATTCATTCTCTATGGAAAGAGGGCAGGGTATATTCGGGGACTTTGTGGGAAGGGCAGAGTTCTAATATGATTCACAAGTGAGGTTCTTACGGTAATATAAGTTGGCAGGGGGTCTTTATAGGGGGAAGAAACTATGCCACTGTTTCAGTTCGGTAGCTTTAAGGAGCCTGGCAACATTTTTGGGGACAGGATGCCTATGAGAATGCTGCTCCATTCCCAGGGAACCTCTTGGGAGGCTTTTCCCATGCAAAATAAAGAAAAACAGAGAAAACAGGCTTCAGCGACTGTGTATTAGCACAGCTAAATGCCAGTGACTGGGAAAGACTGGTTCAGTTTTTAAGGTCTGTTTTTGGCTCACCTCTGGAAAGCACAAAAAGACCCTGGGCCAAATAATTTGGCCAAGCACAGGTTTCTACAGCTTGTAAGATTGTGTGAGATTTCTAAAGATTAGCTGCTGATCCTCTAGAATGAGAAAGAGGTTGCAGGGACCTGTGAGAGAGAATGTGCCTATGCACATAGGATTTGCCTACCTTTTTGGACTTGTGGGTACATTTGGGAATTTAAGAAACTGCCATGGGCACCACCACAAAATTTCTAATCAGTGGATTACTGCTTTGGCACATACCTTTAACATAGTTGTTTGAATGTTTATAAATGTTAGGCTGCATCTTATTCTGCAAAAGCCTTTGTTTCATGTTTGACACCACAATATCTTTTAAATAAGGGATTGTCTGATTCAGCTAACTGCTGGCTGTGTGATACAGCTAATCCTTCTTTTAAGTACACCTCTTGGAAATATCCATTAGTTTCTTCTTTTTGGGAAAAATAGACAAATTTTGTATTGGAAAAACATTAATATTCATTAATGTAAACAAACACTTTTTATTTACCTGCTTCATGGAAATTAAAAAGTGGAAGGGGGAATGGATTCTGTACCTTTTTGGCAGCTGAAAGACTGGAAGAATAAACTATCACCTTGTATAATGCAAGGGACTGAGCACCTTACATTTTTTACTCAAATGGATACTTGTATGGGTATTTGGCCCATTTTTCTTGCTCAGTATAACTGCTTGCAGTTTGTATGAATTTCATATAAGTTCAGTAATATTAAAACATGGAATACATTTATTAAAATGGGAGAAGGAAACCAAAAATACCCGAGACCAAAGGCATGTTGGTGACAACTATGCAGGTGTCACATTAAGGGATCTCATTCTAGCATCTGTGGTTGGAGAGACAAGGCTTTTTATGCTCCACATGTGCCACCCTTTCTCAAGAAGTCCAAGGCACGGAGTTCTTCAGTTTCTGGCAGCAACTGGGAGCAGGAGGATTGAACAAGCAGAATGATAATCTGGAACACTGAGGATCCCAGGGACAGTGGGAGCCAATGCTGCTGATAGGATTCACATTCTCCAAAACATACTTTGGTCTCCAGAAGAGAGCACGAATTAGAGGAATAGACCTTGATCCCAGGGACAGAGAGCAAAGCCTAAAAGGCATTTCTTATTCCTATAAAATTAATATATACATACATACATACTTCACTGCTGTGTCTGGATATAAATACCAATCATGCAGTCAGAATCGTAACAGTCTCAAACAGAGAGACTTAATTTATCTTTTAATTTTTCAGACTAGCAAAGACCTTTTGTAGCCGGAAGGCTGGTGTTACAGTTTATACTGGGCTCGCATATAACTAATGCTTTGGCCCTGAATATACCCTACAGGACTATGCATGGTTGAAGCCATTGGTTTCACAATGAACATAATGTGTGACGATTATAGATAAACTGCAATATTATTCTGTACTACAAGCATTATAACATATAGCATGAACCATAATTGAAAATCATTTTTATGATCCTTTTCATAAATGAGATAATGTGTATCACTCTAGAAGTTTAGCTAGTGCTAATTGTGTTATTTTGATTTAATTGTGGTCACCTGATGGGCTTTCTTCTGTGCATCCATAATTTATTTATCAATTCAGATTTCAGTGAGGAAAATGTCATGCAAATATCCTTAATAACATATAATGTGTAGCAGCAGGACTGTCTGTAAATACAGCACTTCTCAAAATATACCTTTGAGACACTGTGCTTGTTCAGTTGACCTGTGGTGTGCTACGTAGTTTGGCCATAAAGGCTAAATAGTAGATCATTTCATGGAACAGTGCGGTTACATTCCATTGGTTTTGGGATAAGGCCTGGTATGTCCTAAACCTTTGTAGATTTCCCAGCAAGAATTGCTCCTAATTGGGTTGTAGCAATTTATTTATGCTTTTAAAGTATATACCACTTTTCTCCCATTTTTAGCATCTAAAGCATTTTACAAAATATCAAACATCCTAAATCAATTAAAAATTAGTACAAGTATGCAGTATTATACAAAAGTGTGATAATAAGTCACTAAGAATCATTGCAAACATTTGGGATATGACTGAAGTGCCAGCTAGAAGCTGCCTTCACTGATTAGGTTTGTTTGGAATCATCATAAGCGTAGGTTCCCACTGAGGATCACACACTGATGGGATCATATTGCTAGCTATTGTTACGGAAAAATCTGGTATAATGAAAATAAAACACCAGGCACAACATGGCAGAAAGTAAACTGCCCACCTGAACTCAGCACTTAAGCTGATGAGGGAAGAAAAAAGGAACCACACACAAAAAGTGTTGGTTCAAGGGAAAAATGTTTAGAATACCCACCATGTAGATAGGTTATTGGCTAATTCTTGCACCTTGGAATTTCCACACACATTTATCACTGGTTTTTGTAGCAGCAAGTACATTACATTTTTCATTTGTGCAGAAAGAAACCTGTAAACATAAACATGTTCCAAGCAGTTGGTGTCACCTTTAGAGTTCCATTAACTACCTTGAAAATGGATCAGCTATGCACTTTTATCAGCATTAAAGTATTCTTGTGAAAAGTTCAAACACTAGAGAGCATTTTTGCAAAACACAAATGTTGATACTGTTAAGACATACTATTAGCACTGGCTGGCCTCATCTTTCTTTACTACACTTTGCTTTGCCACTTTCATGGACATATTCTTTTGTTTAACTGACTATGATATGCAAACCCTGAGCGTTCAAAGCCAAAGGCAGCGTTTTCTAAAAGAGACCTTAATGTTCCCATCACTTCATCTCTTTAAACTGAAAGGGTTTCTTTTATGAAAGATGCCAGTGTGAAAAACCCTTTAGTGTAGAAGTGGTTAATGCAGTCTTTAGCTTTCCTAATGGCTTGTGTACAGCAGCAGGCATTCTCATGGGGGACTTCAGTTGCGCTAAAGGCAAGACTTGGTGACCAGGACTGAAATCTCATAACACTTACCTGAGTAAATATTGACCTTAATGGGGCTTAGTTTGTGTCGGCATGTGTAGGATGGGACTGTTAGACACACACCCCTCAAAGAGCAGAGAGAGCGGGATGACTCCTTAAAGAGGTACAAATAATTAAGGGAGACACATGTTTTTTCTGACTTACGTGCTTCTTGCCCAGTTGAAGTATATATAGATGGACTAAGTTGTATGGACCGCATGCAGCTCAATTTTCACGTGTCTTGATTAAAGCCTAGATCAGCATCACACCCAGATATTGTATTCTTCTCATGAACCTTGTTCTTATGTTTTGATTTCATTCGCCTCTTCTAAGACCAGGATTAGAATTAAACATAACCACCACCTCTGAGTTGACTTTCCTGGAATGTTAGGCCTGACTAGGATCTTCATCTGCTGTTCACTGTTCACTAAGAAATGGCTCACTACAACAAAGTCTGAAAACCCTGCATGAACAAGAATTTCCATGGAATCGGCTTCCTTAACGTAGAATTGCCTCTCTTTCCCCCCTCTTTCTTTCAGAAAAGCCAGAAATGGATGAATTCACCCTGGAAAGAGTGCTGGAGGAGCTGGAGACCCTGTGCTATGAGAACATGAATATCGCCATTGAGACAGAGGAAGGCCTTGGCATCGAGTATGATGAGGATGTTGTATGTGATGTGTGCCGCTCACCAGAAGGCGAAGATGGCAATGAGATGGTCTTCTGTGACAAATGCAATGTTTGTGTGCATCAGGTGAGTAGCATTTCCCTCTTGGCGAGACCTTGTATGAGACCCTCTCTCTCAGAGGGCTTAGTTTTGCTTCGAATAGCTGATGCAGGCCAAAATGGGAATGGTGCTGTTGACAGTGGCACCCTTCGGCTCTTTCTGCAGTAGCACCAGTGCCAGTCCTTGCTTTGAGCAGCTTTTTCTTAAAGGTATCAGGCATGTAAAAGGGGCTTTGGTTCACATTCAGCATCTGCATCGGTACAGCCTCGGGCAGCAAAGAGGAGATACTGTTGCTGTAGGGGAGATATTGGAGGTATCGGACCTTTGCCCTCTCCTGCCTGCATATTGTAATCCTGCTGCACACAGGTCTTCACTTTGATGCTTCCTCACCATCTATTTCACTAAGGACTTCGTTTAGATTATTGCTCATTATAATATTGGAGATCAGTTCCTTTTTTAGGCCAGGCTTAGAGTATATTCACTATGGGCCAAAGGTTTATGAGGGTGGAAAAACAGTAACATCTGGGATGGGAGGGCTAAGTTGGTTAGTGTTTTCAATCTTGTTTTGATTCTTTCCCCACACCCCCTTTAACCCATGAATTAAGGAATCTCTCTGAGCATTCCTTTATACTTTTCCTGTAATGATGTGCCGCTTGAAAATCTTATGACCTTGACTCAGCAGAATATGGCCGTGACTATGGAGAACATTTTTGATAAGTTGCTTGTGCTGAATTTAATAGAGATGTAAGTAGCAAATAATCTGTGTAGACTAGCCAGTCAGGTTTCCAGGCTGTCCTTTAGAAGGAAAGAAAATCAATGCAGGTTCTTTGAAGTCAGGCCATCAATTAGCAATCAATACTGAGTAGCTGAGTCTGGGGTGTTCCATGTAATCAGAGGTAGATCTTCCTTCCTTTAGGCACAGTGTTCAAAGAATATCCTGCTTCTCTCCTTCCTTCCACCTCTCTCTGAGAGCTCCAGAACCACAGCAGTTTGACCCCCATCCTACGAGTACAGGACAGACAGACTGGGAGGATGGCTTCCTGCAGAATGTGATGAAAAGTACTGCACCTAAATACCAGTCCTGGCCTCCACTGTCACCTGCAATTTCTGTGCATTTTCAGATTGGATGAATCCTCCTATCAAAAGAAAAAAATGGGGGTGTTGCAAGATGTAACAGTACAGTCTCTTAACATGCTAATTTCAAAATAGGGAAACCTCTGTGAGCACAGCTGATAGAAACTTTTTGGATACTCCCAGGAGCACAGCTCATGAAAGGGTTCTTAATAGAGACAGCTGTATGTGTTTTGTTCTCTTTATCAAGTGCATGGGTTCTCTTGCCTCATAGCACAACCTCATATTCTGCTGTGGCCTCCTGGGAGTTCTTTCTACCAAGTCTTTTCTTGCTGTTTTGTTCCCATTTCCTCTTCATTTTCCTTCCTCTTTATCGTCTTGTCCCTTGGGGCACATGGCCTCCAAGGTTTTCTTCAAAAATGGCTGTGGTGGGAAGGTATTTTTGACCATTGACACTCCAGCTGCCATTGCTGCCTTGGAGAGGCACAAAGGGTGGCCTCCTGTGCTGGCCGCCAGACCTTTACTAAGCAGGCCAGAAGAATAAGAACAGCATGTGTTTGTGCTCTGCTAAGGGAGCATTCAGTGTGGCACCACAAGGCAGCAGGTAGCGCCACACTGAATGGGCCTCTAGGTACTGCTTTGTCATCCGTCTGCAATAAACCAACCAGGTTTTTTTCCTAAGGCACTTTCAGGGCAACCATCCATGGAATTCGGAGCACCAGCCTTTGCAGTTCTGACACCTTTGGCCATTACCTCAGTCCAAACTGGCCCCTCAGTCCAAAAGGTCAAATTGACTAAATCCTGAAACAAACACTCCACTAACCCAAAACCAAAAAGACAGCTCAAAGGATACCATCTGATGTCAAATCCAAGCTCATGTCAGTCCAAACTCACCTGCTCTTGGCATAGGTAGTGCCTTAAATTCCTGTGCAGTTGCTGACACTGATTCTACAAAAGCTACAATTCCCACAGGTCCATAACTCCCCAGAAACATTGTTTTCCATTATTGGAGGGCAAATCTTAGGAACTGTATTATCTTCTCCCTCAAGACTGTTCTCCAAGGGAATATAGATCTCCACAGTTCTGACATATCTCCCTGGCTTCCTTGGTCTCTTTAGGAGGTTTTCTTCAGTACAACCACGATATGCCATGGAAGAGCTGTAGATGCCCCTGCTTTAATAGGTCACTCATTTTTATGGGGATTGTTCTCTGCCAAAATAACACTCATTATGAGTTCAGTGAATTCTCAACACCAGTACCAACATAGCCCAGACCTTGTGGAATTTCTTGGCCTGCAGGTCAACTGAGAAGGACCTTGTTCAATTCCATCACAAACTCAGCAGTTAATTTGGGCAGTCCACAATGCCATTTAAGCCATCGCCTGCCTGCAGACTGGGTGGACACTGTATAGCACCTTGTATGCAAACAAACAGTAACTCACAATCCAGCTTCTTTTTGGCTTCATGCCTGCCACCACTGCAGTAAATCTGCTAGTGCAACTCTGTATGAGATCACTCTGGTCAGGGTTATTATAGGTATCCAGTTCAGAAATGGACCCTTACACTTGGTTTTTCCTGATTTGGTCCTAACATTCTCTTGCCTGGCAGATGATCCCCAGAGGAGATTCAGCTTCCAGTTTCCTCATCCTTGACGATCACCATGGACTCATTTCTTCTCAGCTGGGGAACTCATTGCAGGCCACTTCCAGACTGAGGGCTGTGGTCTCAGCAGGAGTGGACCCTAATATCAATCAACTCCAGCTCCTCGCTGATGCCAGAGGCCCAAGGGGACTCAAATTATGCATCAAAGGGTGATCCATCCTAAGGATCTTAGGAATGACTGTATAAGCAGAGAAGGTGGGACAAGATCTCTCCCCCTCCTATGACTTACTCTTTCTTTCTAGAGGAAATACATCATCACATTACTCCCATCACTACCCACCTAACAGGATTGTCCAGCTTACTCACAGACTTGCTGAGCAGGTTGATAACTACCCCACATGAGTGGAAGCTTTCCCTGATAGTCCTATTTAACCTCTCCAGCATGTGGTACACCCAGTCTATTGGCCACTTCACTACAATTATAACCCAAGTGCCAGTGTTTCTGCAGCAGAGCAGGTGGGGAACACTTTCCTTTTTCACTGGGGAGGCCTCTTAATTTAATCATTTTGTCCATGAACAAGGTATAGAATGATGGTGAACATTACATATTCAAAGCCCTGTGGTTTCCCAGTCCTAATAGCCCTATACTTTCCCAGATAAATGCAGTTTGCAACACTCCTTCTCCTGCCCAACAATGCCTTTCCCCATCTTCCTTGCCTCCCAGATTTCCTAACAATGAACAAAGGGGATATCAGGCATCCCAGCCTAGAGATACAATATCTCATGGCATACAAGATGGACAACTCCACCACTTCTCTAACCGGGTCCCAAAGGTAATGACTGCTTTCTGCAGTCCTTCCATCTGGGCTGCATACACCGCCAGTGGAGGGCAGCCTTCATAAAATCTCTAACTCCAGTAGGAGAGACCCTACAATTCTGGAGTCTCCCAGCTGTATTTGGTTCTGCTCTTTCTCTGAAATCTAAGGGCCTAGCACTCTTGTTCATTGAGATCCAGTTAGCAGCCCCCTTGGTCAATCACAATAATGAGCGTTCCTCTCTCTTTTCACATTAAATGATTCCTTAAAGGATTTATTGACCTCTGTTTGCCAGCCTCTTTGCCTGACTCAGTCTGAGTCTACCAGCAGTACTAGCTCAGCTGACAGCAAAACAATTCTAGCCTTTGGCTATTGCTGACAGAGAGGAAGAGAATCTTGTGCTGTAAGGCATGACCAATTCTTGATTTTTCATAAGGTGGTACTACTCCCAGACTGCTCTTTCCTCCCAGTTCCACGTAACTGCTGCTATCTTTCCTGAACAGACCTCCCCAACAGAGGGAAGCCTTCATTCCCTAGACAGCATTATACTTGCACAGAACAACACATTTGAGAAATATGACTTTCAAATTTGCCATTATGCCATTCAGGGCCCCAAACAGGGGGCCTTCTGTCATACAACATTTTTGGAAAGTGGGTGCTCTCAGCTGTATTTGCAACTTACCAAAAGACGTGTGTGCCTGCCCCTGTACATTGAATGGGGACATTCAGCCAAAGCCATGGCTTCCTCTACCACCTTCCTTGGCAGTGTTCTGCTTCCTCAGCTGTGTAGTGTGGCAACCTGGGCTCCACCTCCTGCCTTCATGAAACATTATTGCACAGATAGCAGGGGTGGGCTGGCACCAATGCTGCTTCTGGCAGAAAGTTTCTTTCTTCAATTTTGGCATGAAATTTCCTGCTGTGGTGAGTCTGTTGCTTGTTAGTCATCCCTGTATGTGAATTGGAGACCACAAAGGGGAAGACGGGTTGCACTTTGTGTGTCATCGGTGAACTCACAGAGCCACCCCACTCCTCCCCACTTCGAGGTCTCACCTTTTCCTTCTCTGCCACAACAGACTTGGGACTGAGAGCCAGGTGGGAGCCATGCCTGGAGTGTGTGCAGAGAAGGTAGGGAAAAGGCCTGGCTAAAACAGTTTAGTTGAGAATGTTGCCAAGGACTGTTCTGCACAGGTGTATAAGCCATACACAGATGACCACTTGAAGAGCCACAGTTGCATGTAAGCAGCCTGTCGCTTCATGGCATGGCTACTGACCTTGCTATGGGGAGGGGGAGCAACGGGTGAATGAAAAGGCAGTTGATTGCAGATTCCACTCATGTCTAACAGTTTGTTCTTCTGTTCTCTCAGGCACAGTTAAATCAAGGCTGTTTAAGCACTGTGCTTCTAAGACATATGAGCTCAGAATGGAGAAAAGAGAAATTGGATTTTTTTGAGAGAGTCCATAAAGCAATTCACAAACAAATCTACAAGAGATTTGTGGAAGGAAGGACACAGCAATCCAGGGCACTGTAAATTCTAAAGCACATAAAGTTAAAAGCCTACAAATAAGCAAGGAAGGAAGCAGAAGCGAAGCCCTGTGTCCTGAAAAGGACATCATCAGCCTTATCCAAGAGTGTCTCTTTATTGTGCATCATCTGTGGTTGTGCCACACCATGTCCCTTCAAATCAATAAGTCAGTAGCTAGTTTTGGATTAACTTTTAAGCTTTAAAACTTGCCACCTGCAGAGGGAACCACTATTGAGAGGCTGAGCTTTCAACCTCTAATGAATTTCTTCACCTACCTGTAGCTGTTTCCAAGACTTTTCTAGCCTCGCTAGCTAAAACCATTTAAAAAACCAACCTGGGGGTGCAAGGGACTGGACTACATCCAGTCTACACCCTCTGACACTGGGCAGTGTGAGTCTCTTAAGATGCCTCAAGAGACCAGTTCTTAAAGGACTCCTTAATTCCTCCCATAGACTCTTACACACCTGTCCCATCTTCTTGTTGCGAAGTCGCGTCCGACCCATCGCGACCCCATGGACAACACTCCTCCAGGCCTTCCTGTCCTCCACCATCCCCCGGAGTCCACTTAAGCTCACGCTGACTGCTTCAGTTGCCAGCTGCTTCAGGGTCTCCATCTAGCCACCTCATCCTCTGCCGTCCCCGTCTTCTTTTGCCCTCAGTGTCCCATCTTACTAGTCAACAAGGGTATTACGCTTTAGGATGGTATGCAACACCTAGGGAACTTGTTTTATAGGAATCTGGAAACTCTGCATAATAAGTAACAACATCAAAACAAGTGAAAGGAAGAGCTCTGGAATAAGACCATCATCAGGACATGGGTGAGAGCCAATTAAAGCTTAAGGATGCCAACAAAGTATATATTTAAAGTTTACTCCAGACATATTTCTGTAGTTATGTCCTGTTAAAACATTATACCTCATTTGTATGACTTGTATGATGAACCAAACCATAGAAGTGAAAGTAATTTTTGGCAGTTTTGTCGTTTTGTAGCTTAAATCTCCAATATGTGCCTAACTTTTTGAATAATAATAATAATAATAATAATAATGTAACAAGTACAGCATATCAACTGTGGTTTGACATATGGAATTACATGCATTAAATATATGAAAATTATATAGTGCCATCTCAGTCAAGATGTATTTTACAATGTTTTTATCCATCTAAAAGAATACATTGTGGCATAGTGGTTTGAGTGTTAGGCTAGGAGTCTGGAGGCCTGAGTCTGAGTCTTCTGTTTGGCTGGAAACTCACTGGGCCAGTCATGAACTGTCAGTCTAACCTACCTCACAGGGTTGTTGTTATGAGGATAAAGTGGAGATGAGGCAAACCTTGTAAGCTGCCTTAGGTTCTTTTTAAGAGAAAGAAAGACAGGATATAAATATAATGTAGTAGTAATAATTGAGTATGTGTGTGTTATAGTGCAAAGACTGTGCAACTAGACAACTGAAAAATTGCTTATGTACTGAGGAGGCTCTTGAAGTGTGCCTCATGTTTATATGGTTTATAAAATGCAATAAGTAATTTTAATTAATTTAAATGTGCCCGTGTGGTGGAAGCCTGCACTAGCCTCTTTAGCCATGAAGGCCATACTTCCCTAACTAGTGCATACCTTTGCAGGTGATAAAATCCTAAAATCCCAAGCCATAAGAAATCAGTAGGGTGAGGACCAGAAGTATTTGGCTGCCCCCTCACCCCTCCTGCAAGGGAGCTTCCCCTCAGGAGAGCTGAGTGGACAAATACATCTCTTAGAGGTCTATAAGGATTCCTCATGGCCAGGGTGTGCCTCCAATCAGATGCAGCAGGCACAGTATCCAACTCTGACAGCTAATGGCTTTGCTTGAAAACTTGCATATCTCAAATGAAGGACTATGCCAACCTGTGTGAAGCACTGTCTCTTCACTAGGACTTCACATAAGTAACATGTTTTCCTTTGTGTTTACTTAGGCTTGCTATGGAATCCTGAAAGTTCCCATTGGAAACTGGCTTTGCCGAACCTGTGCCCTGGGAGTCCAGCCAAAGTGTTTACTCTGCCCAAAGAGAGGGGGAGCTCTGAAACCCACTCGAAGTGGGACAAAATGGGTCCATGTTAGCTGTGCCTTATGGATTCCTGAAGTAAGATGCTAAATTGCTTATGAGTGGAACATGGATGAAATCTGTTTGGTTTTTGCACATGTCAAGTACTGTCAAGAATCATGTCATGTGCTCTGTGTTGGATGCAGGTTAGCATTGGATGCCCTGAAAAAATGGAACCCATTACAAAGATTTCACACATCCCAGCAAGCAGATGGGCTCTGTCATGCAGTCTTTGCAAGGAATGCACTGGGACATGTATTCAGGTGAGTAAGAAACTTGTGGAAAACCCAGAACTAGATAATTATTCTTTGTGCAACACCCATGTCAGAAAGATAAGGATATGGTCCAATTTTGCATAATACAAGCGTTTTTTGAGATCAATATTGTGTGTGTGTGTGTGTGTGTGTGTGTGTGTGTGAAAAATAACAGCAGGAAGAACAAAAATCTATCAGGCTGTACAGCCATGTACTATTTTCATTGCTTAACACAGTAATGTCCTTGTACTTGGCATTGTTTATGTCACAGAATCATAAACTTAGGGGTCATCTAGTCTTGTCCTTAGATCTGCAGCAATTATATAGCTGTTCTCTGCACAGTGATAGAACAGTTGTTATGTCATGTTTATTCCATCTGTTACCATCCCTGCATGTGGCTCACTCTGCTAACAGGACACTGAGAGAGATTATTGGCAAGTCTCTGCACTGTTGGAAAGTGTCTCTCTGGCAGAAGAACAAACCCCATGAGATACTTAGTTGTCAGACCTTTGGATGGAGCCCCAGGTCAGTCCTTTAACAGGACACTGTGGATTTTGTGATTATGCCATAGAGGTGTGGTCTTCAGTACTGGGCCTATCATTCTGCAAAGGCCATATTTCATTTGAAAAATCAGCCACATCCTGTTTCTCCTCCTTAAGACTGTAGGGGTAGGTTTGAAAGTGAGTAGGTTATGCCTGGGATTTGGCTGAGCAGGATTTCCAGTGTCATGACTTAGCAGAAGCAGATTGAATTATATACACATTCCATTAATTTGCACAAATTCTGCCAAGAGATCAATGCATCCACTCACCTGCTAACCAGCTGGTGGCAACCATGCTCCTGTGGAGGGTGAATGTTCCTGTGCTTTTGTCAAAGGCCTTGGCCCCAGGAAGGAAAGCACTCCTCCTCTTTCCTCTGTGGAGAACTTAGCGGAAGAAAGAAGATTTCTCTTCCCTGCCTTGTTTTTGGAAGCACGTTTAATTTTTTTTTAAACAAGAAACCATACAACCATACATTTATATTGTATTTATTGAACTTGTTTGTAAGCTGTCCAGAGACACACAGAGATGGGTGGGTTAGAAATATCCCGAATAAATACATACATACATTCTCCCCCGCTGCCACCCCCAGTTTCCCCATGGAGGAATGAGAGGCAAGAATCCTGTCCTTTCCTCTATGGATTTGTGGTAGGCAGCAGCAACAGAGGATGGATCTTTTTTATCTGAATAGAACTGCCCCTAGATACACGGTATATAGACTTGCCACTAGGTGTAGTGAAATGTTCTCCCCCATTATCAAATCTATCCTGTCTAAGTGCACTCAAGGAAGATAACCAAAGTATTGACCTCCAGTTCAGAGGGATGAACTGTGAAAGATTATGTGCATAGTGATGCCATGTAAGTGTCAAGGGGCAGTTAATCTGGTGGAAGAAAACTCAAGCACTGTATGTACAGGAAGCGTCATGCTTCCACAGTATTCAGGGCATTTTGCAGGAGCAATGTTAAAGCAATCCCTTTTAGCCTGAAACGAAAGCTCACACACATTTCTCTTAAATCTTCCCAACATTGATTCAACTCCATTTGCAATGGCTCTGAGTGGATCTGCTTATTCACCCTGCCAGATGGAGATACTCTGTCATAATGGCAATTGCTTTCAAAGAACGGAAGGGCAGGGAAACGAGTCAGCTACACTTGGCAGCATGGGGGAAAAAAGAATTCAGTTTTCTCCTAGACTTCATCCTCTTAGCTCTGGCTTGCATGTTAGTTTTGAAATGCTCCGAACTGAACGGATTTGCATGAAAGGTCACCTGAAATGGAAAACAGGGTTTTATCATCTCCTTTGCTGGCATCTCACATTTTCTAAGTCTTTGTAAGACTGACAGTCAAGCTTTTGTCAGTGCTGGCCTCCTAAAAACTAGAACATTTTTTACCAAAAAAAAAAAAAAAGGAGGGGAAATATGTAGATGATTCATTTGTTTAGACATTTAGGCAATGACTAAGCATCAAAGTGAAACGTAGAAATAAATGAGCTCTTAGCCCTTTCCTCCCCATGGCATTAGGATTGCAAATCCCACTATTTGTGGTTATGGAGCATTTTCATCTGGGTTTGGCTTTTGCAGGTGATTTTTACCAAACAGGCCTCTACAAGAGCTTCACGTAAGAGTTTTGAGAAAGAATAGATTTTTTTTACTGAAACCTTCCTGGCAAGAGGGATTGAAATCCATGAAGCTCAGTGAAAGCAGTGATGCCTAAATTCTTAGGAGCTAAAAGGAATAGAGTAGTTTCAGTTGTCAAAAGAGCAGCGTGACCAAATGGCATAGTAAATATCTAAAAGGGCCTGGCTAGTGGTATTTGAAAAGGCACCAGAGATATTGAACATTACTTACGGAAATCCACAATTATTCAATGGCAGAAAAGGATCCCAGCCAACATTTGACTGGGATGTCAGTAAAGTTTTCAAAGTGGGATGAAGTTATTGGATTGTCTGAATGAAACTGGGGTTGTTGAACAAAGTACAGGGGGATTCAACAACTGCAGTGGTGTTTTGAGAAAGGGTATAAAGCTGATGAGACACAGTTGGCTCACAAACCAGGTTGGATAATTCTAGCACTTGGGCTTGCTGGATGATTTGTATGACTATGGCCATGCTACAGGTTATAGGATATGCATATTCTAATAGCTCCAGGAGCTCAGCTCCTTTCAGGATGAGAAGTACTTGAATTCAGAATCATCAAGTAGAATCATAGAGTTGGACTGAGGGGCTTATAGCCCATTTAGTCCAACCCCCTGCTAACAGAGGAGATGCAGATGAGGAATGTGTGAGAAATCCATTTGTAGGTGGGAAAGAGTCAGATTCCCTGGGATCAGTTTCCTGGCCTTTGGTCTGTTTTGCAGTAGCTCCAAGTCAGAGTTCATGGGATGATCTCCAGGAGTCGAGCTTCACATGCTATGCAAGCAGCATACCTCTTGGGTTTGTCAGGCAGGGCTGTCCAAGAGTGGAGCCTCATGTTACTGCTAGCAGTGTCCTCTTCCACGCCGCCGTATGCAGCCACCTTTTGGTTGCGTACTGCACAGCCTTTGTCTTGTGAGTGTGTGCGGTCTTCTTCATGCTTGGCTGGCTTTGCAGACCAAGCTGGGCCTGAGCGGAAGTCCACAAATGCTAGAGGGATGGATTCCACTAGGGCTCCTCCCAACCCTAATCCAGAGCTACACTGCTCCCAATAGTCTGGCCTCTGCTTGAGCACTTCCAGCAAGGTACACTGAACCCCCCAAATAACTGGTTCCTTCAGCTGCACTGCTCTGAGCATTGAGGCATTTTTCCTAATCCTCAGCTGAAGTTTGCCCTCCAGTATTGTAAGCCCGTGAGATGTAGTCCTGCCTTCTGGGGAAGCAGCAGAGAACAGGCATTTGATGCCTTCAAGAATTTCAAGAGTGCTGTCATATCCTGTTTCATCTTCTCTTCTCCAAGCTCAAGATAACACAGTTCCTTTAACCCTGGACATCTTTGTTGCCCACTTCACAACCTGTTCCAGTTTGCCTATATGCTTTTCAAAGTAGACTGTTGAGAAGTAGGCACAGTATTCCATGTAAGGTCTGACTGGGATGGAATCAACCAGAACTACTTCTGCTTTGTGATCTCTGTGCATCACATATGAATGCTGCGCAGCTGCATCTGGGGAATGTAGGTGGTAGACCCTTCCCCACCAGCACGCACATGTTCTTTGAGTCCCTGCCTTCTTCAACCACCATTGGAACTACCAGGAAGAATTTATTTAGACTAATTTGGCTTTTGAGATGAGGTTTTATTCTTTCTGTTCCTTCTTTCTTTGTATCCGTATTTGCTGTTTTAACTTTTCTTTGTAATCTTTACAGTTGCTTGTTTGTCTTAGGCATTGAGGGCCCCTTTTCAAAAAATGCATCAGATGCAACAGTAAGCGGTCACCCGCAAATAGTTACTGACTTTACTTCTTTTGTTTGGGAGAAGGATATATTGTGGATTCTTGTCTCTATGGCCAAACAAACCAGGAAAAACTGGTTGAATTGACTGTACTCCTGAAGTAACAGGTGAATAAATCTCATCAGGCGGATTTTGATGCTATGGTGGGGCCATAGCCTTAAACAGGCATGCACAGTTTGTTCCACAAAGCTCATTCTTGCATTGAGAACTTGCCATGTGATGGGACAGACTTTTCAGCATGAAGACCAGTGGCATGGACACAGTGCAGTAGGTGAACTATAGCGTGCTAAACAGGGCGAGATCAACTGATTCCATCTTGATACCAGTAGCAGCAATGGGCCTGACAATCTGCCTTCTATCCAGTTTGGCAACAAGGAGAATGATCCTTTCAGTGACAGGTGTCTCCCACACTAAGGCTTCAAGTATACCTGGTCAAGGTTTCACACCCCCTGTAAAAATGCAAGACTTTTAACCCCACCCCATTCTCATTCATCCTTCTTCCTCTCACCCTGCCTTCAGAACTTGAATATTTTTTTCTTTCATGCTTGCACATCTATCACATTGCTTTCATGGGACCTCTCCATTGTGTGGAAGGACTGCCTGATCAAGTGTGAAATCCTCCCTCATTTCCTTGGCATTCATACTGCAAACCCATTGCAGGCTTTGCATTTGGGAAGTAGACACAGTGCTCCAGCAGGAGGCAATTCAGTGTATCGCATCTCTCCAACACAAGGATGGCTTCTACTCCCATTATTTCACAGTGCCGAGAAATGATGAAAGAATGATGTCAACTTGAATTTCTACCAAGAAATTCTGGATAATGACCCTGGCATCAATACTGCCTCTCTCATGAAAAGGTTATCAAGGAGAGTTATCAGTGCTTCCATTAGTATGCTATTGGCACTGAAGTGCCAGTACCAGGATATTCCATTCAGGCTTGTAACAGCTCAGAGTATTTACCAAACATGTAGCAATTCTTTGCACTTGCCTAAGAACACAAGGGATTCATATGCATATTTGGACATTATAGTGGTCCCCACTGTGTGGAATCA